AGAAAAGAAGCTTGACCAGGTGCTGATGCGAATAGCCGAATATGGACTTCGACTTCGTCCAGAGAAACGTGACTTCTGTATGCAAAAAGTACGCTACCTTGGGTTTATAATCGACAAAGATGGAAGAAGAGCAGATCCGGAAAATACTCTGGCAGTGAAAACTATGCCCAGACCGACGGATGTCTCCACACTACGATCCTTCTTGGGACTAGTTAGCCATTATGGAGCTTTTATTCCGGACCTTCATCAATTACGTGCCCCTCTGAATAACCTTCTGGTGAAGAACGTAAAATGGAGTTGGTCTGCAACTTGCCAAGCCGCTTTCGATGAAATCAAGAAAGTACTAGTCTCGGAACTGCTGCTCACCCATTACGATCCATCCTTACCCATTGTAGTGGCATCAAACGCTTCAAACTACGGCATTGGAGCAGTTATTTCTCACATCATGACAGATGGATCCGAGAAAGCGATATCACATGCGTCTAGATCGTTAACGTCAGCAGAACGTAACTATAGTCAGATCGAGAAGGAAGCACTGTCGATTATCTTCGCTGTCAAGAAATTTCACAAGATAATATTTGGACGTCAGTTCACCCTATTAACTGACCATAAACCATTACTAGCCATCTTTGGGTCGACGAAAGGTATACCTGTATACACCGCAAACAGACTGCAACGTTGGGGAGCTACACTCTTGGGTTATGACTTCAAGATCGAGTACCAGCCCACTACTGATTTTGGACAAGCTGACGCTTTATCTAGACTGATTGGTTCACAAGTAAAACAGAAAGAAGACACTTTGGTGGCAGCAATCGAGACTGAAACAGAAGTACATCGAGTTTTGGAAGACGCAGTTGATGGTTTACTGGTTACTTTCAAAGCCATCAAAGAAGCCTCGGAAAATGACAAGACTTTAAGAGAGGTTAATAGTTATCTTCTCACCAAGTGGCCGAACCGTCGTTTTCAAGGAGAAATGCTACAATATTTTCGCCGACGGTACTCACTTATGATGATCGACTCATGTTTTATGTTTGGTGACAGAATTATTGTTCCAAAAGTATTACGCTACAAGGTTCTGAGACAATTCCACAGCGGCCATCCTGGTATCAATAAGATGAAAGCATTTGCTCGAAGCTATGTATACTGGCCTACGATGGATCAAGATATCGAAAACAGATGCCGCAATTGTTCATCGTGCCTACAAGCAGCCAAAAGTCCAAGCAAGTGTGAACCGCAACAATGGGAAAAGCCAAATAGTCCCTGGGAGAGGCTGCATGCAGACTTCGCCGGTCCAATACGAGGAAGAATGTATCTAGTCATAGTAGACGCGCCCACAAAATGGCCACAAATCTACGCCATGGTGAATTGCACTCCAGAGGCCCAAAAAGGAACCGAAGGGCCCCAGCTAATCAGAGTATGATGAAACGTTCTAGAATTCCAGCGTGGCGTGCTACCATTGGTCGGTAGCATAATATGACGTTAACGGATTGGCTGAAATAAGATGTTGATTTAACAGACGCCAACATTTATAAATACCCTTGATTTTCTGTACTATAAGGAACCTTGGGATAAAGTGTTTTCTCTCATACTTGTGTCTTCTCTCTGAAGTTCAAGTCGCTGTGTAGTTCTAGTCTGCGGGTAACGGAAATAGCTTAGGATTCGTATATAGCGTTCAACCTACACGACTTATCAACATTAAAATAAAGATGTCTAGAAGTAGCAAATGGATGTTCGTACCCTATACCACTCAACCAAGCAGTAACTGTGCGTCGAGGTGAGAGTCACTGCCGGTCACTAATATTATACTACTCCTAAGAGTTTGTTGTTATGACAGCAGATGTACCTGCTGAAGAATCCATTGTTTAAGTTTATTCAGCTTATTTCATTTATTACCATTATCCATTCAGTAACACTCAAATGTATCGTTTCGCAAAATTTTTTACGTTACCATGCAAAATTTGTCTTTCGTAAATGAATTTCTTGATATACTCGACTGAGTTAAGGCGTTCTGTTCTATTAAACTCATGTCTGTTTATAATAATGGTAACTTTGCATATTTCAGATGATAAAGCATCTTGTCACAACAACCTCCCACCCCTTAAATTCAAAGTAGTCCGCATTAGGCATACGTTGGTCCACGTCGGACCGATCTTCATTAGTGTCTGTTACTGTTATGAATAAGAAAGGAAATTATGAATTTCGTGGACTTAGTTTTGGATGAATTAGTTCAGATTTTTCAGTTTATATGCATTTTGCAATTAGTTATTGTATTTAGTTTTATAACCTCTAGTGTACAGCAATTTACGAGTTCATAAGCTGTTTCTTAACTTGTTAATATATCATACTGTCAGTTTGAGTGACAATTATTGCTCCGTTATATATCGTTTGGCCGCAGAAAACTGGTAGTCCTGGCTAAAAGTTAACAAAATTTGGATTGGATAGTTGGGCAATTTTTCCACACTGATCATTTTGTTTATTTTTTACTTGTTCACTTGAATTTCTGAGGTTTGAGCAAATGAGACTATTTGTCATTGTAAAAAATATACCATTGCTGATCTAACAGATTTCCATTTCATTTCACCCAAAATGTATGATGCATATAGAAAGGCTGAGTTAATAGGTGTTTTTAGATCTCCCATAGAGTAGCTGTGATTAGACAAAAATAACCCGACTTCTTCAGGAATACGATTCTTATTCAGTCTTCCCAGAATCGTTTATTATTCGAAAGAGCTGTAGCCAAAATAAATTGTTCCTACAAAGAATACGAACGTTGATCTATGAGAGTGAAATGATAATAGTTAACTTAGGATAAATTAGGCACAACGAAGGTTTACAAATGAGGTACTAACCCATAGGGGTTATTACGAGGCTTATGTCATTAAATTAGTAAAATCTTATAACTGAATGTTCACAGAGATATAAGTACTAGGCATTAAACAGAAATCTATTATACGATAATGAAATAGATCCACAGTTGTTCTGAAGTATCCAAAACAATGTGTTTAGTATCAGCTGCAACCTTGATGGACGAATACACTACGAACATGATGCAAGTATGAGTAGAAGCTTAACAGCTGTGTCATACAAACATGGAGCCGTAAAGAAAGAGAAAAAAAGAAGGGGTTATGGCAAACGATTAAGAATCGTCAAATAAGCCTATTGCTTCACAGTCGGACAGACTAGAACATTGTAGCATTTGTACTAACTGACGATTCATTTGTACTTGATTGCCCACAGATTACGAATTACAAATATAATACGTTCATTTGTGTTAATCTAGTTCTCCCTGCCTTAGATTGCACTATTTCGGGAATTCTTAGTTGGTACATTAATTCGAATACGTCTAAATAATAAAGGTATTTTAGGTCAGTAGAAATAACGAAAACAAGTTATTATCAGAAGCATAAGGTTGAAACTATTAGTCTAAAGAGTAGCGAACATAAAGAACAGCTTCAAAATCATCGAACGGTTCCCTCAACTCCAATCCTAAATAGCCTGAGACAAACAGAATGTTTTGTCCTGATAAAATAAGTGATCTGAAATAATCCCATTCATTTTTGGTGTTCGTCCGTTATTTCCGACATTACGAGTATGTTTTTGGCCAACTCTTAACCACCTGTTCAACTTGTTACAAAGTCAATGTCTTTCCTCTCGTTATGTTTGCGCCTTTTAAAGTGATAGCTTAGTAACCAAAAATCTGACTTCAGTTAAATTGTATGAATGATTGCTGTCGAAATATACATCATGACTATTCTCGTATATTTTTATCGACTATTTTTAATTCCCCTATTCACTAACGCGGATTAAGCCAAATACGAGAATGGACTTCCGAATACATATATTTTGCACACTCACTGATGAGGCGAAGGAAGCGAAGTGAGTGAAGCGAAATGACGCGCTGTGGAGAAGGCGTGTGGGCCAACTCGATTTAGTCAAGCGTTAATCAATATTTACGGCCACAGAAAAATGGGTCACAGATCTGAATTGGTCGTCTACAACTATTCGACGTCCAGTGATCAGTTTTTAGACGAAGGGATACATTCGACATGTCAAAATACTTAACTCAAATTCCCGGTCGTTTCACCAAACATACAAGTTTATACCCAAAGACCCGATTTCTTCAACCCTGAAGATGACACAGGTATTCAGTGTTTGACAACGCTTCTACCAGTAACACCTTCTTATATGATTCGTTCTCACCCAGAGAAATCAAAAGACAGAGTCGAGGAGATCGGAAGAGTATATTTGGCGATGACCAATATATCGGAATTCTCTGATCTAATCTGGCTAGCGATTGCAGTAGCAGTTGAGCACGGCGTTACCACACGTGATCTGGTACGGATGCATACCGAGCGTCTTCAGCTAGTTGGGTCCACTAAAACATGTTTTCAGCATCCAATGTCGAAAGCTTACAGAGTTATTTATTTTTGGGATTTATTTACCGCTACAACCCCTCCACTGAACAAGCGACAAACACACTCATCAGCGATTTTTCGTGTTATGTGGTTACAGATGCTTACTTTGTTCCAGTGATCAACTGCACGGATAGTCAAACGGAAAACAGTAGATGGCTCCCATGTCCTTCAGAAAATTCCTAAAGCGTTGTCGTCTTACAACATGTGTGTTTCAAAGGTTTTTTTTATTGTTATGGTTTAGGCGTTACTTTCCAAAAACTTTTTTCTGGAGTCTTTCATTTGAGTCTTGTAAGGTGTGGCAATATCGTTATTGCAATTTCAGCTTAAGTTCTTTCTTGGTTATTGACCACTTGTGACTGTGCATGAAGTTACCTTAATTTAAAAAATGCTTGTACGTAACAACTAATCTTACTATTCGAATATAAAGTGAATCCACCACGACGCTTGTTACTGGGAGGCTAGCCGTGTCACACATAGTGTCTTCAAGGAACTAGACAAGATGTTGAGCACCCATATATATTGGACTTCACGCGACCTTGAAACTGTACAGACTTTGGAGACAAGGCGGGTCAGCGTAACCTTGAGATGAGTTCCTTATCGAAATTTTTCAAGTCTAAGAAGAATGATAAACCAGAGACCCAAACGGCAATTCATAAGCTTAGAGAAACACATGAAATGCTTACAAAGAAGTCGGCCTTTCTGGAAGGAAAGGTTGATGAGCAGATAGCTTTGGCCAAAAAATACGGTCTGAAAAACAAAAGAAGTAAGATTTATTAGCCTGAATTATTTAATTTATTAGTGGCACTTCAGGCTTTGGCTCGCAAGCGTAACTACGAGAAGCAATTAGCTCAGATTGATGGAACTCTCAATACAATTGATAGTCATATCGAAGCTCTCGAAAATGCTGGAACAAATGTCGAGGTTCTTAATGCCATGCGATATGGGTCAAATGCCTTAAAAAATGTCCACAAAAACATGTAACTGTTAGTGTGTTATGATATTCATGCTTTTAGGACTGCTGACGATGTACAGAATATTATGGATGATATACAAGAACAACGAGATACGTGCCAGGAAATCTCTAATGTAATATCCACCCCTATGGGTCTAAATGCAGACTACGATGAAGATGACCTTCTTCGTGAACTTGAAGAGCTTGAGGTAACTCACGGCTGTGTGGCTTGTTAATTTAAAGGCTTAAATCTTGTTTATAATTTTGTTTAATTTTTAAGTTCATTTGTTTTGTATGCCCTGTTTGGTAGAGTAACCTTCTAAATAAACAACCACATACGTTTTACTTAAGTCGAGGACAGGTGTACTTATGTGTTAACATTCGTACGGTTTTTCAAAGTCTTATTAGTAAACATTGGGTTAGTGTTAGGGTTGGAAATCGCTTATAAAGGAAGGTCAGTGTATCTCACTTAATGGTTGGTGGACAATTAAAGTGGTTTTCATACATACAATAGAAGTGTTGAAAACGTGGTTTTCAAAGTGGTGCTACAACTATCCAAAATATTTCAGTAATTTTTGATTATATTTTGGAGTTTTGTGGATTAAATCCAATCTCCATCCAATTACCTAACTGTAGATAGTTGACCATTATGAAGTATCAAGTAGTCCACTACTAATTTCATTGTTTGGTTCTTACTATTAATACCTTTGTGCTACATTCCATTCTCATTCCCAAGTATATCACACTTTCTTGTCGAAAAACTACATTTAGACTCCGTTCACCAGATTACTATTATGGAGTTGTTATTACACGGGCCAAAGTTTTGTTAAGTATTAATGGCCATCAAGGACATTGCATGTTTGCAGAAATAAATATTACACCAGGTTTACTCATGCATCTATTCATTGTTCAAATTTAACTATTTGTAAAGGTTCACATTGTTTTTGCAGCTACTCCATCATAACGATAGGCGTAGTGAAGTGCAGCAATGTAGTTATAGGTTAAAATGTCTGAAACTACCAAGAAATAATTTTATCCAGTCAAGTGATGGTCAAACATGTTGCTTTAAAAGGCAATATGGTTTGATAATACACCAGTACTTAGCCTTTTTTATTGTTGTGGATGCATTCAGCGACACCAGTTTGGCGTCGACTTCTCGAACTAAAATATCCGACGTTTAACTGTGTTTTAATCTGACCAGCAGTCTGTACTAGCCACTCGATTTCCGTTCATTTTAACTTGGTCTAATTGAATCAGCTCCTAACACATTAATGGTATACATTACCTTGTAAAATTTTGCAATGTTTGAAATTTGCACTTACATAATGGTGATTTTCTGCAGACATCTGTAATGAGTCACTGTTAATACCTCGTTAAGATCCATTTCCTACTCTCCAACGCCTTTATTTCAGGAAATAACATACATTGTGGTCGCCGGCTTTATAAGTACTATTTATGTTCGAAGCGAAATTGATAGTTTGTAGTGACGAATGTTTCTCTCAAGCATGAGCTTCATTTCATTTAACCCTGCATTTTTCATAACCCTGAAATAAAAAACGTCAACCTATATATCTTGGTTCAAAATCGTGATTTCTTCCTCCTGGCTATGTATTTGCAAAAGTCAGTCAGCCAGTAACAACGTAGAACTTCGTACGTACGTACATCAGTTCGAGTTGCCAAACCACATTAGCACAGAGATGCAGTTATCGATTCAAATCCCATAGTGGTAGAGGTAGTAAGAGTATGAGCAGTAATCGGAAGCATTAGGGTTTGAAGATGTTATTCAAGGAGTATAATCCAGTGAAATAAATTTGGAAAGCGACACGAATAGATCACTGTTCTCAGACTCTAGTGGAGTAAGACTATATTGAAATGTAGCTGATTCCCTTAAATAGTACAATCTGATTCAGTATACCGTGGACCTGATAGATGAACACATGGCAACACTGTGTTGTCAGAAGCCAAATCTCTTTATTCGAGAAATGTAGGGCTGACTCAGGATACTTTTTCTACAAGGTTCAATCATCGGCATTGAGTATGTAGGTCATAAACAAAAAAAGCAGGATTGGTTGGAGTAAGTGAAAATATTGAATAAAAAGAAGTCTAACTATAGAACATTAACGTTTACATCATTAAATTACCGACCATGGTTTTGCAGGAGTAATTTTACAATACGCATTTATTGTTCATAAGATGTTATATTGTATCCCAAAAGATAAAGGAGGTTGCACAGAAGAAACGGTTCGAGAAAAAATATAGATTCGTGGAATAAGTTAATTGAAAAAACTTAGGATCTTAAAGGGTAAAAGGAATAAATGCATCTTATCTACCACTACGAACGATTCTGAGTTTTGTTACCGTCTTTAATTATTGGTTACAAGAACCACATGGACCCCAATTAAGCAACCAGAACCTACCTACACGGTCTACACCAACATTCATAGATTAATGCCATGTTTTTGTGTTGACTTGCTCGTATCTCTTGCTCAACCTACTATTCTATCTGTAACTAAATACTTTTAAACTACGAATCTTTTTTTATGAATGTGGTTTTACAGCAAAGATAGCTTAGTAAATTAAAGCACTCAACTTTCAACCATTGTGAATTCAAACCTTTCTCCATCTGCCTCAATTTATAAAGTTGGGTAAGTATCATTGGCCTTCACACAAACTGCACAGTTGAAACCTTATGTCAAACCATGTAATCTATAGTCCTATTTCTATCGCTTTTGTTACAATTCATTACTTTATTAAATTACATCATAGTCAGTATTAAAAAAATTTGTGCTTTGTTTACTTAAAGGCTGATGGTGTTGAACAAAAATTGCTGGATATTAATCGGATACCTCAATTGCCTAATGTCCCAGATTCTGATTTGTCAATACCTGTAGCATCCAAAAGTGCACCAAGTAAGCTATCAGAAAGAGTTTTTACACTTTTTTTATTAACGTGCTATACACTTAAATACTTTGAAGATTTTGACAAATCAGTACTTAAGTTAACGTTCAAAAGATTATCTTTTAGGGAGATGAATAGAATAAAGCTGAAATATGAAGATGAAGCAGTCAGAAATACGATCTGTCCAGTTAACCTGGAAACAGCTAATGAATGAATAATTTATAATGTTAGGATTTTGGTCTTAGGATCTGGACGCAACTTCAGTCAGCTTTATGCAACGTAGAACTTGATGCGATTGTTCACTGGTTCAAGTTGACACACTGTTAGCATGCTGAGATGAATTTATCGAAGCATTCCCAGAATAACAAAGGTAGTAACAGTGCCAGTGATAGTAGAAAAGATTACATATAAAGAAAATAAAAAGGGTGTGGAGAGATTTCCGGATCCATGATCTGAGAGTGGATAACGAGTGAATGCAGCTGTGCTATTGCGAATAACTAAGCTATGTTACTCAAAGTCCCTGAGCATTGGTTTCAAAAGCTGCGGGGACTGCAACTAGGTAGTGTGCATCTCCCTACATGGATCAGTTCGATTGTTAATAACTTCATGGACTGATTGCACGTCTTGGCTTGGTCACCCTTCTTCGTCCTGATTGGATCGCCTCTATAAATTAACTTCACTGGTAATAGTTCATTTAAAAATGAATAATTTCATTGGATTCCGTAAATTCATCGAGAAAGCTAGTCTTCAACTCGATGGTCTCAATAAAATCAAATGGTTGTTTTGCGATTCCTAATTCATGATAAATACTTTAATATCAGTGCTGAACTAGTAAAATATAACATTAAATTATTTGAATTACTAGGTTTATTATTTATTTATTTATTTATTTGAACACATAAATATTGGTACAAGAGAGCGCCAATATATATGCGCCACACAAAACAATGGGAATTCGAAGAGAAGTAGAAAGAGAAAAAAAACTAAGGGATGCAAAAGAAAAAGAGAATAATGACGAAGAGGTACAATCAGAAGAAATCTTTCAGTTAAGTAAGATACAACCACTTTTATGAAGAAAGTAAAAGAAGGTTACAGCAGGATCGCCACTGGCTTCTATTCTGAGCCATATCTGATAACGTCTCTAGCCACTGTGTTGCACCATCTCTCGGACCCCAGCCAGGGAGTCGTGAAGGACCAACACAAGCCAGTCCTTTGCAGCTTTCTTTCATGCCACGACACCATGTCATGCACTGACCACCTCTCCGCTTCTTCCAACCAGTCCCAGAGTCGGCAAATAATACACGACGTGGAATTCTCTGGGACGACATTCGGAGAACATGTCCAAGCCACCGAAGTCGGTGTTTCAAGATGGTGACACCAATTGCATTATCATCTCTGTGCCCGAACACACGATGCTGACCCTCTGCATTACTGACATAGTGTTGCCACTGGATGTCAGCAATCCTTCGGAGACAGCGATGATCGAACACAGAGAGTCGTCTAACGTCCTCAACTCGGAGAGGCCAGGTTTCACAAGCATAGAGCAAAACTGCTCTCACCGACGCGTTGTAGATCCGGCCTTTTACAGCCAGACTAACATCACGAAGGCGCCAAAGGTGGCCCAGATTGGCATAAGCCGCTCTGGCTTTCACTATTCGTGCATTGATCTCATCACTCACACCCCCACCAGCACTTATGCAGCTACCCAGATACACGAACTTCTCAACTACGTCTATCTGCTCACCGTCCAGGGTGAGTACAGGATTGAAATCCTGCCAGTCTTGTAGAAGTACTTTGCATTTCGAAGGTGCAAAGCACATACCATACCTACGGACATTGATTGCCAACTGATTAAGTGCGGATTGCATGCCTTGGGCATTATCGCACAGTAAGACAATATCGTCCGCATACTCAAGGTCGAGAAGTCTTTCTCCAGGCAACAGATCCACAGCACCATTACTTACATTCATCAGAACTGTTTCCAGAATGTCATCGATGGCAAAGTTGAAGAGGAATGGTGAGATTGGGAAACCCTGCCTAACCCCACTGCTCGAATGGAACAATGGAGAGAGGTGGTTGTATGCCCTCACTCTGCCTGAGGTGTTTTTATATAGGGCTTTTAGGATGTTAATAAACTTCTCAGGCACACCCTTCTTCAATAGACAATCCCAGAGAACAGTCCTATCCAACGAATCGAAGGCAGCCCTGATGTCAAGAAACACTACGATTGTTGGCCTTTGAAAAGTATGGCGGTGTTCTAACATTTGGCGGAGGGTGAAGATATGATCAATACATCCTCGACCAGAACGAAACCCAGCCTGCTCCTCGCGAGTCAATCTTTCTCGGGTTTTGAACAACCTACGAAGAATGACGGAAGCCAATAGCTTGGACGCAATCGGAAGTAAACTTATCCCCCGATAGTTGTTACAAGAACGACGTGAACCCTTTTTAAAGATAGGGACAACTATCGACTCATTCCATGACGTTGGTACACTCTCTAGATCCCAAACCTTTGTAAACAACGTCGTCAATTCCTTAGTCAAAAAGTCACCACCATCTTTAAAAAGAGCCGGAGGTAAGTCATCTGGGCCAGGTGATTTGTAACGCTTCAAGAGTTGGAGTTCCTTGCGGACTTCCTCCTCATTTGGTGGATCAGTCGTCACCGGCCATGGAGGGCAGGACAGTCTGACCGAATACAAAAGATTCAAGTACCAAAAAATATTCAAAATACAACTCTCCTGTCTCTTTAGTAGTTTAAAATATAGCATACTTGTCGAAGATGAGGCGTTCATTATCACTATACATTACATCTTTAAGAAGAGTGAATTCGTGAACCCTACTTATATTGATTAATATGCTTAAATATAACTAGGGAATGTTTCATTTATGGAAGAGTGCACAAAGTAGATTTCTCTTCGAAGATTACGTGAATAATATCTTTGATATTGAAGCTAAATTAGCGTTAGTGTGAATGTTAAAGGTTCTTTCACCTAAGTGAATCCATTATTCAGACTGACGGTTAAAGTAACTTAATCAATTGAACAGCTTCATATTGAAATGACCAATAAGTTGCAAACTTCACTCACGTTACCGTAGTGTACAGTACTATAGCAGTAAGACTTCCCAAAAACAATCTTATTTTAGTATGTGTAGCACTATCAAAAGAATAGGCCATTTTCAAGACCCTGTCTCCCGGGAACTATGTAGAAAACTTACTATATTCTTCATAACTTTAGTGATTCATCGGCGGAATTTTATCGTAGACATATTGTCTAATATACCTTTTCTTAACAATAGATGCGGATCTTAACAACAGGGGTAAAAGGCAAATAAAAACGAAAGTATCTACTTTATTTGGAATGGTCCTAAGCTATATCTCCCAGTGTTTCCAACCTCTGATCTCACTTATCACGCCGACCCCAATTAGGTAGGTAGGTAGGTAGACATGACTTCGACCCACAGTCAGTCACTTCTCGAAATGATACGACGTCTTGGTTTGGTCGATCACTGCTTTCTACTAACTCCTATATTATTTAATGTCGCTCGTTGTAGTAGACGGTGGTCAGGTATATGTAACACATTCTAATCATCCCAGTCGATGAGAGTTCACTGTAACTTCATCATCCGACATACTATCTTTATTTTTGTAACTGTGATTGCAGATTAGAGCGCAGCGAATTATCGATCGAACCAAAGACGCGTAAACACGTAAGAACGGCCTAGAGTCCTGATTGGTCCTGCTCCCCTGTCTAGCCCAGCCAGTTTAGTCCAAAACGCAAGTCTCATCCTCTAAGATATGAATCATTATATTTCAAGCGTACTGAGTTTTTATACCAATCAAACCAATCACAACGTACCAATAAAATATAAAACAACATTTGTACAAGAATTAGCCAGATGTGGCCGTGAATGAGGGAGGTAGCGATTAACAGACAGGGAATAATTCATGAATGGTAAATCGTATAATAATCGTTCATAGGTCAAAATAAAGCTCATAATAAGAGGGAGATGAATATGAACAGTTTAGTTACATAACAATTATACGATAGAACTATACTCAGAATATTGGTCCGTAAATGGATCCCAAAAATTACCATTTATTATTCTATCGGGATACAACAACTCTTTACCCTATAGCTTACGTCAGTATTACTCGATTGTTTCCCAACACATAAGCAATGCTTCAAAGATGTCTATGATCAAAAACCTACAAGTTATACGTATCTTCTGCTTCCATAGACCCTATTTCACAGCCACACAGCACAGGCTATATAAAATCGATATATCTATGAGGATTTCCTTTTCTCCTTTTATTTAGGTAAGAAAGCAATTGAAGATGACGATATTGGAGCACTTGCTGAATGGGCTAATTAATAATTACATTAATAACACCTCATAATCTTTTTCTAAATCATTATTATCAAGTGTGTTCGTTTATCATCTACAGTTTGAATTGTTCTCTGTTCCCATTATTATGACCTGCCCCGTGTTTTGTTTATTCTACAATGTTCAATAAGACCAGTTTTTTTAAAGTAATGATGATGATAATGATTCCCTGCTTCTTTTTTTAAAAAAAAAAATAAACACCTTCACATTTGTACTAATTTTTGTGTATAATCAATCTCTGCTTCATTTTTCACTTAAAAAAAAGAAATGAAAACAGTCTAATCTCCTTTTTCTTCTCTACTCAATTACGTTTTCTATGTGTAAATTCGTTTCACTTGAAAAAGATACACTGTATTGTACTTGTACTACTACTACCACCACCGCTGTATTGTATTGAATGGTTTATATGTTATACTTATTTTAACATTCAAGGTGTTCTACTACTACTACTACTCAAAGTATTCAATATGAAATACATTGAAAGTGTTTAATTCTACTAACTTATTGATTCTAGTTCTTGGAAGAAGAAGGAGAAGAAGAAGAGAAAAAAACAGTTAGATAAATAGATATTTACTAATATATATTTTTTTCTTATACTACTCGATGCATGATGTTTAGCATCAATAATAAATAACAGTCTGTTGTTACATATATTTTTTTAAACTGGTGATTTCAACCCCACAACGTTCTCGTTACTTTTCTTACATACATTTATAAATTTTTATCAATAATAGCCTATTTATATACAAGATATGTGTGTATACCTGTTGCTAATATACAAAAATGATTTGTTATAGCTTAATGCTAGAATTTCCTTCTCTTCTGTTGGCTTTTTCTATCAATCTACTTTTTTTTCTCTCTTATTGTGATTAAAATTAAAGATAAACGTTTTAGTTACTACCATTTAAATATTTACATTGTGTGTGTGTATGTATGTATGGATGGATGGATGGATGTATATGTAATGTGTAAAAAAGGTTGGATTATTGAATAGAACAGTAAAGAGAACATTAGTTAGATAAAGGATCCTACAAATGATTAATTAATTTTGGTCTGGATTATGATTGTGTCAATATTCTAATGATAATCTAATTGTAATTTGATTCCATGTATGAACAACAATAACAAAAGCAATACTCTTGGAATTAATTTCTTATTTAAAACAACCTAAATACAATTAATTTTCTATATATTTTTTTTTCAAAAGAAAATTGTCACATTCTACATTCGTCTGATTAGATACAGAAGATTGAATGAGAAAACTATGGTAAAACGGAATATAAATAAACACTACCCTTTGATATTTATATAGTTTTCTATACTTTAAATATATTGGCTAAACCTTGACAAATTCCAGGAATAGCTTCAATCAATGATTTGTCTTCATTTTCACACTTCTTATCTATTATATTAGCATTGAGCTAGCTTGTTTGCATAGATACTTAATATGTTTGGATACACCCTATGAGTAGTATTGGTTATATGTACGATACGTGAAATAAACATATTGTGAATTCAATTAACTAGAATGTCATTGACTGATATATTTTGAATGTGACCTAGGTGTAGTTTTATTGTATGAACTGATTACTGAAGAGTCCAATGATTTGATTGATTGACTCTATAATCATAGGATTAGTTAACCAAGCTTAAATACATTGACTGAGACACTAACTAAATTGGATAAATTTCTAAGTGTAATTCACCTTACTTCCTTGTTTTGTTTTCTTCCTGTAATTCTAGGACTTTTCGTCTCTCCGATTACTAATATGTAACGGCTATTTTTTGTATTCGTATAATTTCTTTAAGTGTTATGTACTTCAGTCGTCAAAATATGTTACTGATAATATACTATTTCAATATGCGTGCTCAAACCAAGTGAACAGAGAACTTCATTGGTTAACCGAATAAATAATGAATGTACAATTCATTAATACAGACACATATCCCTCAATACATTTGGTCAGATTTCCAATCAATGGTGTACATCTGCCTCGGGAAGTGAAGTCGAATGTTGACCAATCGCATGCAATAATTAGTATATCGCTTATCTAATTTACCTAGCGTTGTGTATTTTCAATAACTGTAGTAATCACTAACTATAGATCTAAGTGATTAGATCACGAGTTACAGTTACACTATTATGTTTTACAAATCTTGTTGCCTCTCAACAGTTCGATGACTAAGTGCTTTTGTATCTTAAGCAAAGACAATGATATGATCCAACATCACAGTACATATAATATTCTGATGATGTTAGACTAACCAATGACAGGACGGATCAACTATAGACGATATTTAGTGTTGTGATTAGGGTGCAAATGCCAAACAAGGAACTTGCCGCTCAGTAATATCGAGTAATGTACATTCATAAGATAGTATTGTTCTAGTATAAAGAGAGAATTCCTAATGTACAATAAACCTTTCCGTAGTTTGATATGCTTTACTGAAGGAAAAATGAATTTTTGAACATTGATTTAAGTATACCTGCTTTCTAGTAGATTCTAGTGACATTTACTCTATATTTGAATCAAATATGTTGCGCAAATGTTCTTGATGCAACTGTATCTTTCACTCAGCAGTATGGCTTAAAATAGTATGGTTTCCATTGTCTTCCTAGATAACGTCGACGCCAGCACAAACCAAGGAAAGTATCCGAATAGGATGTTTTCATAGATGATTACGTACTGGGTTGTGTCAACATTCAGTGTGGTTGATCATCAATTAGGATCTCTCATGGCTTCAACTCATATTAATACGTAACGTTACCATGATCATTCTCTAAAGATACGAATCTTCCTGTGGTTTTTTCTAAAACAGGTGTCCTAAGTCTAAATTTATTTAAATCTTTCTTTAGAGTTTATTTAAAACCCCTTTTGTAAAGAAACTGGCATCATATTCTTTTATCTTAAGAATGATATCTCCCTTGGAAAACGTTCAAAAAGCAGCAACCAAAAACCTACTCAGACTAAAAAGTAAACCTTGCTCATTTCTCGTAGATACCTAAGATTTGCAACTTATGCAGTTCAGAAACAGAAGGAACGAGTCTTTCAAAATAAGACTTGATATCTACGTTACTTCCGTAGACATTAACGAATGTTACTCTGTCACCGTTTAATTACCTATCTGATTACCAGTTAATATATTCTCTTTTCAGATTCAGAAGGAACATAAAAAGTTGTTTTTTACCTCTTTAACCAAGATCTTTTTAATAGTACTCAGATCACAACAAGCAAACAGCTCGCTATTTTTAAAGTATCTTATCCCACTGATTTAAGTTCGTCTTAAATTTTTCCGAGTTAATTGGTTTAAAACAGAGTAATAATTGAATTTTTTTTAATTAGGGTCGTGAATCTATTAATGTTATATCATTATTGAAAATCTGAAAGCACTGAACGGCCATTTCATCCTAATATGAGACTCTTCAGTAATGCGCATTCATGATCCCGCCCATGAGATTCAAACTCAAAACTTTCAGTCTCGTATGCGAACGCCTAACCTCTAGTAATTGATTTCACCAATTAATTTTCTATATTATTTTTGAAATCATGAGTCAATTGAAGCTAGATCACCATGGAAAACCTGGAAGCACTGGACAGCCTAGTATGGGACTCAGCAGTTCGCATCCACAACCCCGCCCCCGCGAGATTCGAATCCAGAACCTATCAGTCTTGCGGGTGAGCGCTTAACCATTAGACCACTGAGCCGGCATCCAACGGTGTTAATGTCTAACTTCAACCAATTCACGAAATTGCTGAAGAGTTCCATACTAGGATTAAACGACCGTTCAGTGCTTCCAGGTGTTCCATGGTGGTCTAACTTCAATTGACTCATAATTTCAACTATTGAAATTATTAAAATCTTCACAAAACCCCTTGTGATATATTATTATTTTTATCTGAATAGAAAAACATAATAATGATTAATTTTTCTAAACCTGTTACTAACCTTTATATAGTTTTCTGTTTTTAGCAGACTTTACTAAAAATGCTGAATCATAGTCACGTATGAATGTTAGTTACAATTCGAACAAAATTAAAATTGTCACCAATCATTTCTAATTTAATGTAACTATTAGTCAAATGAAAATATTCACATTTCAAGGTTATGTCTAAATAGATCTATAGTACTTTATTTATAAGATGACTATTTTACAAATATTTATGGAGAATTAAATATATAACTCAGTTAACATTAGTCCCAGAGTGAACATCAACTCTGAGATGCAGGTACATCCAGCTGACAAGTCCCAAACAGAACGAAACGCGCGTTCTGGATTCCACTGCTAGCCACTATCCATCTTTGCTTATAATGCTTGCACATTAAGGCAATATCGAGGCATACGCACAGTATACACATATACCAATAAGAGACTGATCAATTTCAGTCCTAAAACATCAATGGGAAGATTCAAGCAAAACAATACCAAGTGAATTAACATTAGTTAGTTAGAAAGAAAACAACAGTTCAATCTATTGATGTGTATATTTATTGATTAATCAATGTGTTGGAGACGTTAGATCCCCAGAATTCACTTGGAAATATCCTAACTTTGTAATTTTATTTTGAAAATTTGAAGTGTTTGTTTTCGCGCTAAAAGCGCTCTTTTCAACTTCATGTCATATTTCCCACTTGGGAGAATCCTAAACGCTATTGGTCCGTTGTGTCTTTTAGTATGCTACTTTGTAAGGCTTCCCAAGGACGGTTTTGTGCTATAAATATTCGTTTTGATTTGTGCCTGTTGTGATTGCTCGTGCTTCTAGTTGCTGGTGGACTCCCCTGTTCGTAAAAAAAACAATTGCTATAACTTGTGGCCTGTGTACCCTGTCAATGTGTACGTAATGATACCGCCAATTAGAGAATAATGAATTATCGATTGGACCAGTGACGCATAAAACCCATGCGAGCAGTCTAAAGTACTATCGGTCCTGCTTCCTGCCTAGCCCAGTCAGTTAAGTCCAGAACACCAATCTCGGCTTCTGCGATATGAATCATTTATTTCAAGCATACTGGGTTTATATACCAACCAGACAAACCACACCGTACCATAAAATATGAAGCAACATTTGTACAAGATTTAACCGAATGTGGCTGTGAATGTGGGAGGTAGTAATTAATAGATAGGACATAATTCACGAATGGTAAATAGTATAATAATAGTTCATGGGTCAAAATAAAGATTATGATATTATTATTTATTTTATTTTATTTAAACACATAAACATTGGTACAAGGAGGCACCAAATACATATGCGCCACATAAATCGTTCGATTTGCATGAGGGCTGTGATACTGCCCGGGTGCCCAGATCGAAGCAGGTGGTTATCTTAGGGGGCCACACCCCGAGCCTTTGACCTAAAGGTCTAACCCAAAAGGCAGTGGAGCATTATGAGGAGATGCATTCCCATGGTAGCCGGTGACCAACAATTGGTTCACACGCCATTTTTTCCCGCAACATACTGGAGCCTATGTGCACCATTGGTTTGGAATCCCGTTAAAGTGCCGGACATTCGCTTTTCGTCCTCTCATTTTCGTAACCAACACCCCCGCCGCGAGAAGGCAATGAGTAGGACTTTCCTGGCAGAGGCTGTATACGCGTGGCCGTGTGAGAGCGTTTCGAGAGGGAGGGCGGGCCCACCCCACTCTCGGCCATACCAGGGCATTTGGGGGCCAAGCTTATAATAAGAGGAGCACGAATATGAATACTTTAGTCATTTAACAATTATACGATAAAAAATATACGCATAGTATTGGTCCATAGATGGGTCACAAAAGTTACCATTCATTGTGCTTATCGGGACATATCACAATTTCAAATTCTATCCAATGCAAATCTGACAGTTGACCAGCAGAATAAATACAACATGTATATGTATCCGTCCCTTAGGAATTTAAGTAACATTCCTCACCAGTAGGTTGTCTCTTTCCATAGAAAAGGAACCTATGTGTTTGTAAGTACGACTGGCCTATTACATAAATTGTAAAAGATAGTTTAGCAAGACTATAATTTATGATTTAATTATAAAACTATGTATAGAAAGTCTGGCTATCAAACAAAACTATCAGTATATTTGGTTGTTAAGATAAAAACAACAATTACCGGATATATCCTAGATGTAGCACAACAGAAACCTTGTTTCTGGCTAATGAAATACAGCTACGTTTTGCGGTAAACAGTTCAACTTGACCTAAATCGCTTTTCATGTTCCCAAATGCCCTGGCACGGCTGAGGGTGGGAAGAGTTCATTGTCCCGCTCGTGGCCATGCATATACAGAATTCCTAATCATAGCCTTCTTGTGGTGGGGGGTTATTTACGAAATTGGAAGGACAGAAAGTGAATGTCCAGCACTTCAACAGGGTTGATGGATATGGAGTACCCACCTGGGGGAGTTGGAAAACCCTAATTCTAATCCAATGGAGCACATGAGCTCCAGGATCCCGAGGGAGGAAATGGCGTGTGAATCCATTGTTGACTACAGGTTGCCATGGGACTGCACCACCTAATGTTGCTCTACTGCCTTGTGGATTAGACCTCTAAATTGCAGGCCCAGGGTATGGCCCCCAATAAAACCACCACTTCGGACTTGGGTTCCAGTCAGTAAACCATCCCATACACAAACTAAATGTCTACAATTATAATATCTATTTACGCCTTAATTCTCAGTCTCGCGATTCATACTTAGAACTGTTTGTTAATGTTCTCCTATATTTTACATCGCGCCACTTTTCTATCCCCTTATTCCCATTTTGTATATTCCTTTATTCTTCAGCTTCTACAGCAGCTTGTGATGGGAACCCTGTCCTATCTAAAGAGGTTCAAGTCCCTGACTGGTTGAAAGTCGAATTCTACCACATAACACAGATTCTGAACCAGTCCTCCTGAATCCATGTATATCATTCAAACTGGATTCCTGCAAAGTTCGCACACTACTTCAGATCGGACAACAGATAGGGTCGGTTATGTCTTCACAAAGTCTCAACATCGAGACTCGTATCCAAGACTAGTGAAGTAGTGCAAATTTAATCTCCATCTGTTGCTTCGAAAGGCTTGTTCTGCGGCGTTTATCTGGTGATGCCCCCTTGTACTAATGTTCAACTAAGTAGATAATAGAATGGACAGATAATACGTGAAAAGATTCATGAAGTGATCACATTTGTTAAGGCCAGAAAAAATAAGCCTATGACTATTAGGGGGTTCCGGGCTGCTGAATATGTCATATTAGCCTACATGATTTTAGCTGTTCCACATGTGAAAGACTATTCACTTAAAATCAAAAAGCAGGTTATTCTATATTTTCATAACTGAAAAATATATCTGGGAGTATCTGACTGAGATCAGTTTAGTTTCTAACAAGTTTTATTTGTTTTCTACTAACAATAAACAGAAAATAGGAAGCTTCGGTCACTACATTTTCAAATGATTTGACAAATAAAATTGTGAATGAAAGATCAGATCCAACAAAAATATATCTTCCAAAAATAGTATAGCCATATAAATAACATAGTGAAGCTAGATGGTGTTCATAGTTTACTAATATTTAGTCATCGATCCCTTCAAAGTATTGTTTCCTTATGCTGGGACCATCAGGACACCGATGTTGAATTTAAAGTTAGATACTAGGTAAATATGGCAAATCAGTTGATGGGGCTGTGAGTCTTCATCGATTGAAGTAATTCATAATCCCCAACTACCAGTCAATTCGATGGGTGATGTTTACCAGTGTAGGAGTAGGTCGTAAGGAAGAAAACAGTCGCCAAACCGAAGCGTCGCATCGGCAAATCTTCATCAACTGTTAGACTAAATCATTTCGATAGATGGAGATTGCCAGGTTAAGGTCTGTAAAATTGTCGTAACTGATTCTTAAAAACAATGATTCTAATTGGCTCCGAATCGGTCACGACGACACAGATATCTCGGATTTTAATATTATCTAGAACTCTCTAACATTCGAATAATTTTGTCTATGACCCATATTTTCTACTTCTACTACTTTGGTGTTTGTTTTGGTAATTTCATTCCGCTCTGTTAATGCAGTATGGAAACTTGAGGTCAACATACAGATGCTAGTAAATACCTTTGTTTTAATTATATTCCAATCAAACATTATGGCATAGAAATCTGTTTACAAATTATAACATTACAGATTACAACTAGGTAATCATAATAAGTAAAATCGATCAACAAGCTCCAAAGTCAAATTTATTAGTTGAGTATTACAATGTCAAATTCATTTTGTATTGTTTGTTTGGATCTTCCCGTTGATGTCCAGGATCGCAATTGGTCAGCCTCTTATTGGCATATGTGCATCTTGTGCGGATTGCCTCTACATTACCTCAAGTCGCAAGCATTATCAGCAAAGATGAATGACGTCTAGCAGTGGGATCCAGGAAGCGCGTTTCGTTCTATTTCGGACTCGTCAGTTGGACGTACCTGCACTCCAGAAGCGAACGGTACTGGACTCGAGTCCCAGAATGAACACCAACTCTGGGGTGCAGTCACATCTAGCTGACGAGTCCCAAAGAGGATGAAACGCGCGTCCTCAATCCCACTGCTAGCCACCATCCATCTTTGCTTATTACAATGTTAATTTAGGAAAACTTAAAGCAATAAAATATAAGAAAGTTTAATAAAAATAATATCGATTTTATTGCAAACAAAATGTGTACAGTGACAGAATATTTTGCAAATAATGCAGTTGAAACCATACAACTGTTTGTTTCTAACTCCTACATTATTTTGAATAAATCGCCACAGGTAAGTGTAGTTTTCAAACAAGAACTGAAGTCGTTTGAAACTGATTTTCAGCTTAGGTGATGGATGTTTGTTCATCAGTCAAAAATCGCAAACTACGATGAAACAGTTGGTTATTAATGTGGCCCCCCAACCCACCTCGGTTACTAATGGCACTTACACTAGTGAATATTAGTAACTATGATCAAGACTGCCAGCGAAAATGTAATCAGACAGAAAAACATCTTGATAAAGCTTTGAAAAGTTTCAAAAGATACAGAAATAAATGTAGTGTTTTCTCTCATTCTCTCTCTGAAATGACTAGAAACAGTTTGTTTGATCCAGGGGAGAAAGAGAAGGACAATGACGGTAATACTGTAGTTTGTTGAATAGATTTCTTATTTACAAGACCAAAACCGTTCATATTCTTTCAATGCTTTACGAAAAGCCCCCGTGTGCACACCATTAGGTACGTGATGGCTGTGAACACCTAGACTTTTTACTTCTTTGATATTCCATTGTAAATCATCGAAAAATATCATTTTATTGTATGGAATTTTAGTCTTTCGTTGAAGTCTGTAAAGAAAATGAAAATAAATTATATAAATGCACATGAAAATGTATGGTATTGTAATATTAGGCACTAATATAAGTTGGAAAGTACCGAATTTGAATTTTATGATTATTTGTATACTCTATTATAAATCCACACACAAACACAAGTTGAAAAAGGACCATTTAATTTAGTAATTTAAGTGTCGTACTCCCCATATGACCTAAAAGTTCCATTCCGTGTGCAATTTTGAGGACTTGTAAAGAAATATGAAACAACTGTCCTTGTCTACTTAGTTTTTCAGTCCGTGTCAATCTTTCATAAGTTCTTATAACGGGAAGAGAAAAGGAGAATAACAAACTATGCGACCATAAACTGTCGTCGTATCATATTCTATTCTCAAATGGTTGTAACCTAATCGTGAGTCATCCGAAGTATCTTCATTTTCGCACATATTGTATTTTATAAGTTATTTTGACTGATGATTTATATATTTATTCATGTACTTTGTTAGATTGTTCTTCGTAGATTCTTCAGATACGGACTTTTGTCCCATTATCTTCACGCCACTCTCCTCATTGGTTTACACATGAACGTGAGTCTGAGCAGCCAGTCAGCGTCGACCCAGCAGATTACTTGGTTAGTTGTTAGGATAGGCTGCCCACAAAGTCAATTTAATCATAATCGAATTCACACGTGCTGTCACAAGGTTGTGGAAAGTAGCCTAGTGTATCGAAGGTATTAATAAGGCTCGAATCAATTTCCTTCGTTATCCAAGGTCAGCATATAGTTAATGTCTTCGAGCTAAACGAATTTCGAAAAATCACTCAGCTAAGCATTAAAAATAACTGTTTACCTTTTATCGTCTAGCCGAAGCAAAATCATACGGCCTTAAACTGAAAACGACGTCAAAGTCATTGGTTAGACCGCAGGACAATTCGAAATTAACTATTTGTTTGACAGCAACGTAACTAACCAAATATGAGCAACACTTTTTATATAAAGGTTAGTGATACAATGTGGCAGCCTAAACCCAACTAGGTAGTACAGAATATAAAACTGTTACCTAAAATTGATCTAATTAGTTGTGATGGAACATGCTAACTTACTCATGGTAGGCAATAACAGATATTAACTGATGGTGGTGCTACCTTGACCGATGGTCGTGGCCTCGCATATCATGATGACAGTCGAGCTATATTGGTTTGAGAGAGGTAAAACTAAAAGCAGGGAACTTAAGGTCCTACGAAAAAGTCCTACTGTAGACTGTGCCACGGAGTGTAACGGCAGTAAGGTTTTATCTTTAGTTAATCACCATTCGTAGCAATGATGTTATTCAACAATGAACGGTCAAGCAACAGCCAAAGTTGTCATATTACATTACGAAAGTGATGAATAGCAAAAAGATTTAAATAATAGTAGTACCAATGATAGTAAGAAAGATTAGATATAAGAGAATTTTATTCGAAAAGAAGGGATGAATTCGAGGGATAAAACGTACTACGTAATATTGAAGCTGAAGACTTAGGGGAAAAGCAAAAATGACAGGATCTGAGCCACAAAAAATTGTGATCAGTTCTAGACCATACTATCTAGCGTCAGGTTTGAACAATTAGATTAAATTTCTTTTGACTAAGTCAATAAAACATCATAGTCAGGAAACAAGGTTCATGCATTCACTATCGAGTAACACATACTAATTCGAATGATCTGAGTGCCTAAGCCAAGTTGACATGGTAATTGAAAATTAAGTATCTCAACTTGTATGCTAATAGTTGACTACACACACACACACATCATATTAGTCGAAATACTTAGGAGTAATGATTGATGCTAACTGGATCAATATTAGTCACATTTACTTAAATTATTATTGTGCTAAACGAGAATAAAATTTCTACACACAAAAATAAATTGAGTAATAGGAGACAATAAAGATGGAAACCAAATTAATATGATTTAGTTTGAAAAAGAACAACACCGGTAAAGTTGAATACCTTGAATATACATTCATCGGTAAAAAAAGTACTTTCACCGACCTTCACTGTGGAAGAAAGACAGGAAAGAAAAATATGTATATGAAATAGAACACATATAGTGTGGTTATCAGTGAGAGACGCGCATTTCGATCTACTTAGGACTCGTCATTTGAATGTCTGATAAATTCCAGTACTGATTTCTACATATCTCAACAATGACTGATCAAAATTCAGTCCTAAATATCAATAATGAGATTTATACTCTTAATAATAGTGACACGTTTATGTGATATTGAATAATGTTAAATGACCGAATCATATGTGGATTTTTACAGCAATCATTGCTATTACGTAATCATCATATGAATGCATACCACTAACAACATTTTTCCATAATCACCATAAGTTGTTTTTACCTTAAAGGTTTGTTGGACTATACAAAAAGTCGCGAAAAAGTAAAACAGGAATGATTTAAAGATCAAACATGTGGATAATTCTCAAGGTCACTTTTTTAAATCTTACAAGTATTGTCCACGAAAGAGACATTAGCAACATGATCTAAAAAGAAAGTTGCTGAACTCTTTTAGTAAGCCTTTTAATTTATAATTGTAAATACTCATGTTCCATTGCAAGAAGTGATACTGAAATGAGATCTGATAGTCAGGTTTTGGTTCATTTGAATAATATTCTACAAAATTTGGAATCATTAATCGTCTAGTCTTCAAATTGCTTTTAATCATGCATGTGTTTGACAATTTTATGCACATGTAGGTCATTTTCGTCCAGAGCCCTCGATAATTCCTTAGAAAAGACCGCAGAAGCCGAGAAATTAGTGAAAATACTCCGATTAACAAGTGCTCTTTAAAAACTTTTAGTAGATGCCTAGAAAGCTGAGTGTTTTAATTACTACCGGATTTGTTACCACTTTTAATATGTTTTCCAGAATCTTTTAAAAAATTAAGGTCATATAATACCCTCATTTTTCGTATAGAAATTAGATCTATCTATCCTCTTACTTTCCATTTATCTTCTGTTCGGGGTACAACAGTAAAAGACTTCTGATAACGAGGAAGTCGTTATCAGGGAGTTTAGGTGCGATACATATCAATTTTACGGAAAAGACACTGCGTTTGTGAGCATCGCCTGATATCGGTTTATCTATGGAGTTGCGTCGACAATTTAGTCTCGTGAGTGGTTATGAGTTAACACAAAATCATTTTTCTAATGAATCATTTACTGACTAATATTTCTCACTGATCACTTTCATAGGCAAAATACGTTGCTCATCATCATTAGAATTCTAAACAATCCTTCTCTATTACAGAGAAGGAATTGAATTGTTCACATTACTCACACTACTAACATTATACATTAGGCTATGTGATACAGACAGTCATTTAATTATCCAACCGTTCGATGGAGAATTAAATTAGACCAAAAAAGTTTATTAACACAAGTAAAAAGCACTCGGTAAATAAAAGCAAAGTAGAGTGAACGTTCCGATTTAAGACGGCCATTTATATTTAGTGTAGCTGGACACGTCTATTTTCAACCATTGATCACTCACATATCACTCTGACTAGATATACCAATAACAAAATCAGCGGACTTATCATACTTACATAAAATGTAGCAAAAATATTTATCAATTTATATCGTATCACCGCATTTTATACAAGAACAGTGAAAGATGAAAGGGTGAATGAAGTAATTACTTAAATACGTTTTGATTAATTAGGTCAACAAAAACTATGTTGTATTCAGTGGTTTGTTTTAGTTACGATATACTTACTACGGTATGTTAAACGCACTATGTAGATGAGGTTAAAATAATTAGGGAACTTTAGTTGTCGAACCAATTTTCAATATAAGACAATCACAGGTGACATATATGGTTGTCCTTCTGATAAGAACAAAAATATTTACGCAGAAACTTTGAGTGAATGCATAATCAGCTTCCTCCCGTAGAGTACCTCGTTTGTAATTTTCCATCTAGAGTTTGACCTTGAGATAGTATGTGAGGCTATGGGAAGTAACATGTTTATACTCACACAGTCAATCAAACTGTTTTTCTTAGAATTAAGATTTTTTAATGTAAATACAGCCGATACCTAATATTTCTGCTACCAAAAGGCATAATACTATCTCCTTAACCGGTTTCAATAAACTCAACTGGGACAGTAAAAGGAAAGCTCAAATTGCAAGTAAAAGCTTTACTTCAAATTTCGTTTATGTACAAAAAAAGCGAAAGTATTTATAGAGGGTGACCTTGAGCTTCCAAAAATTTTCGGAACCATATTGAATAAAGTAACAGTATAGGGGAATATCCAATCAAAACTGTGGCATGTAATTCGATATTTTCTAGGTGTATCTGCGATACTTTTATTCAACGTTAATTGGATAAACGTTTTCTGAGCCTCTAGAGACTTCAACGGGGGATTTTCTCGAACTCGCCAACTATATTGTGTCCGTGAACAATTTGGAAACGCGAAATAACTATAAGCAAAATCTATCAACCAAATAAAAGAACAAAACAGTACAGCTGACTGAACAAACAAGTGTAGTCAAATAGAGTACAGGTGTTTAATGGATTCTAATTTCAGATCTGTGACGAATACAATCTACCACTTATACAAATCTTTGAAAAAAAACCTCCAAATAAACTACAATAGTCAGGGAATCAGTGACTTGCTTCAAGATGCTACCACTAAAGCTTAGTGATAAATTTTGACTGGCGAGTTCAGATATCGTAAGATTGAAACAATTGTAACTGACATTGGATTATCCTTTCTCTACATCACAATTTAGTTACGACTAGAGTTGTATCATTGGACGCCGATAGTAATTCTTATCATATTCCTATGTAATCTATCTTTTGCTTGACGAATGTGTCGTTCTAATCTGATCAAGTATTTTTCGATCTTGTACACAAGTATAGTTTTTTATCAACATTGCAGGCCTATTGCGTTTATTTTTGTGGGCTTAGCTATTCACCTGTATAGAATAATATCCTTTGCAAGATTTGTGTCCTGATGTTAGTAAATATTTGTCTGTGTATCTTATAAATTGTCATTTGACTATTAAAGCTAAGTCACTCTTAATTCAATGATCTTTTATGAAACCTAGTTTCCAAATTCACTTACTATGAGCTTTGTTTCTTTTCTACTATTTAGATGCTCGAAATACACGTATTCTCCATACATTTTGCATTCGGTTATTTATTTTCCGTAGCGGTTACATACGAAGTTAGTAAGGACATACATACTTTTGTAGCCCATTAATTTGACTCCAGTCAGATCGTATGATGATGTTATCGAAATATACATCCCGGTTACCCTCCTTCATAATTTTCGAAGGAATTCAAGTTAGAAAATAACGAAATAAGTCAAATACGAGAATGAATTTCGAATAGCTATATTACGTACACCCGTTGATCCGGACAGACATTCAGAATGAAAAGCGAGAAATCAAAGAGAAGCGAAGAAGGAGAGTGAGCCAACCCAATTCGATCAAGCGCGACTCAATATATATAGTCAGACAAAAATAAGCCACAGACATGTGATGAGTAGGATAAGTAATGCACACACAAGCCTATATAAAAAGTCAAAGTTAATAAGCGAATAATTAACAAGGTCAAGAAGAATGAATAAGTTGGTCTATCGGGAAGCCAGAATAACCCATGTGAACTTGACATGGTACCAGACACTACGATACTTCATTAGCTTTATTGTTTACCATCCGGCATAGAGTCAACACTCGGGATAATAAACCTGGTTAGTGATTTCAATGGTTAGGAGTTTGATGAGAGATGTGGAAGTCCCACTTCCGATTCCTGGCTGGTTCGTTGGTGTCCACTGCTGAGGAATCCCATACCAAGACGAAACGGATGTTTAGTGTACCCTGATTTTCAATGAGATAAATATATGACGAACATAACCAACATGTCCCAATATATACTCTAAATGTACAACATTAAAGGAAAGAAGTTACAATAACCTAATTTAAAAAGTCACCTTCGTAAAATATAAGAATAAAACAGTAACCATACTACGTGTATGGGCTCAGACCACAATATTATTAAATCTTAATAAAAACGACTGTGTTCATTGGAGTTTTCAGGTGAGCCACGATTATTGGGAATTAAGGAAAGATTGAACTATCCCTGATACGAATGGTCGTATTGCGAAATCGATAACGACAACCGGCACACAACGCTTTAACATTTAGCTATGAGCACAAAAAGGAAAAGTCTCAGAAAAATTTGACATTTGAGCAAAACAACTTGAAATAGTACAACTCAATATACATAGTAATAAAAGCACGACTCTAAAGCGCAGAAAATTAGTTTGCTAAAAGTAGTGACAACAACAACAACAACAACAACAACAAAGACTGACTAATCCCGTGATCTCCTTAGCAAATATATAGGATGAATGTAGAGTAGGTACAAAGGAATTTACAAGCTTATTACTATATTTGGTACTCATGAGTAATTTAACAAATGATAATAATCATAATAACATGTATATATCCTTACAGTGATGAAACGGTAATAGCTGTTCCGTTAAAAGACAAAAAGTAGCTTTTACAGAAAAAAAGCACACATGAATATCACTACTACTAATAATTGTGACTTATTCTTTACCAGAAAAAAAGTAACCTTCAATAAGTACTACTACTCCTTAGATAATACATAGAATTAGAATTTATCACTGTTGTATTATACAGCGTAAAAACTGTTTTCGCTGCCACTACTACTGTTGTGCGTGCTACTTATATTGATATAAGTAGTATATGACGCGAGTTAAAGAACGTAATGTCTGGCAGAAGAAGATGGGGAAGGATCAAGAAATGAAGAGCGACAACACAATGAAATTGGTAAGAAAACGCATGAACAATGAAATGTGAGACAATTGATTAATGTTTGCAACAAGAACAGTTCAGGTTGATATGATGCATTGATATTTTGCAAATTAACGATTTACTATATGGTTTTTCTATTTTACCATGTAACTCTGTAATTTTGTGCTGAATACAATTCGGTTGTCTTCGCCTGTGTTCTCCTTCACTACACTACGACTACTACTATCATACTGTGTTTTGTCAAGTGACTTTAATTTTATAGTAACAAAAAACAGCACATGTTTAGATAACCATAAAACTGTACGCTTAACTGAAATTCATTCTATTTCACTTTAATTCAATGTTGGATATGAAGAAAAAAAGAGACTTACCAAATAACTTTTAACTTCAAGGTGTAGATGCTTTTGAATTAGATTAATTCTCTAGTATTTTTCTCTTTCATTTTTATTCACAATAGCTCATTTCTAGATCAAATTAGTAGTTATTATTCTCAGTGCGTTAAACTATTTATTTTTGATTGGTTAGTTAATCACAGTAATTTGGAATAATCTAACATGTATTTGTAATAGGAAAGATAGTGTGTTTTTATGGGTTGAGATTTGAAAATCTCAGCCTTAATGTGAATTTGAAGTTTCATACCACAAAATGATTTTGATTAGACTACCACTGAAAACCAGGAAGCACCAAACAGTTGTTTTGTCTTATTATGGGACTCCTCGACAATGTGCATCTACTACTCAACGAGAAATCAAACCCACGACCATCGAGTATAGCAGTGAACTTTTAACTTTCAGACCAATGAGTTGGCATCCAGTTGTTTACAGTTTGAGTTTAAGTCAATTCGCAATATTGCGCGACCATCATCCACTTCCACTGGCGACATTTGTCTGAGGCTCAATATCGTTAAATATCGCTGATCATGGCATTTTTACTTGAACTCCGGGGAATTACCTCTCGAAATTAGTCACTAGTAAGCACTGTTACTGTTACCATAGGATTTTGTGGAGACTATTGGAAATGGAGTTAAACAACGGAATAACTTTGGTTAGACTACTACTGAAAACCATGAAGCCTACTTATTTGGGCGTGTTACCCCTCATGGAGGACCATAGGCCGCTCAGTAGCATTCCCTATCGGACTAGGAAGCACTGGATAGCTAGTTTTTTCAAGTATAAGAATCCTCATCAGTGTACGTTAACAACTTGTAAATTCAATTTGTTACATTGAAAAATTTATATATATTATAAGATAGATTCAAACTTACGTCTGGAAGTGAACAATTTTACTGTTTGGATATATTTCCATATGATCGAATAATTTATCCCAACCATTTAGGTAAACTAACTGACGAGCTGTTTCCACCGAAGGGGTCCTATATTAATATTTAAAGAAAAGTAGTAGAATAACTAGTGGAGATCAGGACGAAACAAAATCACACTAAACTGAATGTCTTGTACAGTACGAAATAATGAAAAAATAAGAGTGAACAAGGTGAGATCATAACTTCAATTGCTAGGAAATATGATCGTTTCTAGTGTTAAGCTTGTTAAGTTGAGAAAGATAATGATGACGGAGATATTCATCTGTCAAATACTGTAGAAGACGTCGGCAAAATCAAGTAGTAAATTCTAAGCACAACTATCGGATAATTAGGTGAATATATCTATGAAGGTGGAAATTTTTCTTAATTAGTCAATCAGTGAACATCAAAGTAAAATCTATTGCGAGTGTGCATCGATACATTTCCCACATATCGGAACAACATACATCGTAACTCAAACCTAACTTAAATGGAGAAATAAACATTAGAAATGCATTTTAGAGTCAGTCAGCTATAAGTAGTTTAAAACTAGAGACATTTATGCATTAGTCCAAGCTATCATGGCATATCAGTACAACGAGATGAAATTATTAGGACAAATTTTAAATAGAAGTGGTCAATCACAGACAATATGATTCCAAAAGAGAGAATAAATTCGCGGAAGAAGAGAGTAAAAGATTATTTTAAAACTCAAGATCTTTGAGAAGACGAGGAGTAAATGAGTCTGAGTCACTAAAATTGATTTTGAGCCATTTCACCTGATATCTGCAAAAAAACAGTTTAGAAAGTTTAAAAATCGAAGAATATAAAGTTAAGGATTAGACCTAACTCCAAACTTAAAGGAAGATAGACAATAAGTCCAACTATATTACGGAGGTCGCTTTTATGCCGTATCGCTTGATATCTCCAACCACTGGTTATGAGTACTGCGTAAATTATAAACTTCTAAACACAAGACATACATACAGAACTACTCCATGACTTCTTCCAAATACTAAAAGCTTAAAAACAGGGTTAACAGGATCCTGGACTAGTTATTTGAAGATTTTTGCTGAGATCGTGGCAACGGCTCCATCTCCGGTTTCGACAACAGGACAGTATTACTAGCCTTCATATCAAAATTGTGATTCGATCCTACATACATGAAATTTAACTTGGTTGCTGAACTAAATTTTTGGGGGTCAATGACTACTAATTCTGTATACTATGAGTTCTATTGAGCAACTTAGTTTCCCTACATATGTCCAAAGAAAACGCCACCGACTTTAATGATTGACTCCATGTTTTTCCGGCTATCCTTAACTATACTTTAGTTTATTTGAACTTTAGCCATGGTAAACTGTGTCGGCACATAGAAGGCATCAGATACTGGTTAATTTTCAGTGTAGATCGATAAGTTTACCTTGATTACCGGATTCGGTAGCTTAAAACAGAAACGAAGGTCAAAATCTAATATGCAGAAAGTAAGTTACAGTAAAACGATCAGATAGAAAACCTAATAAAATGGGAATAAGCAGATATACAGTAATAGTACTTTTAAAAGATCGAACGATTAGTACATTTATATTATTGTCATCGATTTTTTAAAGTAATATTTATAACCAACACTTTGAATAATGATGGTTTTCTAAGTGTAAATAAGTGAGTTAAAGCATTTGACTTACAGTCATCAGGTTGTAGGATGAAATTCGGTTCTGTCAGCTTCGGTTTTATTAGTAGTCTTTAAACAAAGTCTATGGCTTGCACCGAGACGGATTGATCTGTTCTTAATTAATAAGTTGTACTAACTAGGCTTCTAAATCTAAGAAGTGAATTTGTTTTTTTATACAGCTCATTATAAAAAACGACACAATATTTCATGAACAGTATTCTGAAAGTTCTTCATTTTGACTCTATCCAAACTAAGTAATAGCCAAGCATAGGCAGTACATTTTCTAACTATTCCCATCGATACATTTAGACAACTACTTTACTTACAATTAGTTTGAAGTTGTGGTTCAGATGTTTACCCACGAACAGCACTGGAAGATAGTTAAGAAATATCGAAGCTAGAAATGTAAAGCGTTAGATCCTAACTTGAGGGTCTAAATGTAAACCTGATGGTTTCTGGTGAGGTCACAGATGGTCATTGTTGCGAGGTCTCGTGCTAGGACAAAACATCTGTACATTGCTTCCTAGTTTTCAGTGGTTGTCTAAAGTCAACTTGTGATGTACACGAAGAAACTCACTAATCTCCGCAAACCCATTTATACTAATTCATATACTACTCTTATTATAATGTTGAAATAAAACTAACATTTGAGAACCAAGAAACTAACCTTGAAGCACATGCCAATAGTACATCTTTTTCTTGTTTGATAGATTTCAATATATTATTTGAATCTTGAAGTATATTTAGTGGGTAATTATTTTCATCATAAATCATATCACCACTATTAACAATGATAGATGAACACAAAAACTTACTTTTTGTGAAAAACTTGACTATCGTAAATGTCACAGTCAAACGGCCATAATGTACAATCTGATAGTTTTTTATCACTTATGTAGCAAAAGGAACTAACCCAAGTCGAATACAATAAGTCCAGGCTTGATGCTTATATTATCAAATAGTCTTTCAGTTGTCATTGATGATCACAATAAATCTATGTTGACCTTCAGTGACGATTTTCAGGATGACTGAAAAAAAATTTTTGATTGATAATGAATCCAAAAGTCGTTTGTGATTTAGAGTCTTATTATGATAATCTATCAAGAACACATTTGAGTACGCGGTTTGAAGTAACGACTTATGTACGATATCTGATACTACTAATCGACTCCTTAAGTACAACAAGAAAAGGTAGAATTTCATTGTGACCCAATGGTTAAAACTTAAATACTATGATCAGTTGACCACTGTTCCAGCATGGTTTAAATTAGAAACCTACTAGGCCGTATAGTTGACTTATAATCGTAAAAAGAATCTAAATGCTGAATATATTTGAGGTTTGGTAGTAACATCCGATAGATTGGATAGTCACCCCGACTAATTCTTATAATAGAACGATATCAGCTTGAATGGTACCATATTTGATTAAATATCGTTAGCTGACATCTTCCGTAAGACATCGGAGGTGCTTAAAAATTTTGGGTTTTCAAGATACAGAACATGATTCATCAAAAGCGACTGAAAATTCCATCAAATATCAAATAGGTATTTCAATTATACAAGGCCTAATATGATCCAATCTCCTTATTTTTGAAAAGCTCTTAAAGAAATTTTGCAGAAATGCGTCTAAAAACGCCAAAATTTCTTTTGATATGGAGATTTCTCCGAAATAGAGAGTTCATCATTTGCGATGAACTCTCTACCGTCCCGCTTATGAGCACTGGGTTTCTTCAGGTTCCTTACAACTCATTGAAGCCCGTCAGTCTACTCCGGGTGACCGTGAGTTTGACCACAAACGAAGGATGTTACGTAAGGAAATTGGGCAAAGCTTGCGTAAGGACCGAGAAGCCTGGTGGTCGGAGCGTGCTAATGAGTTGGAAGCAGCAACTGCATCTGGTAATTACCGGAAGCTCTTCCAACTCATCCAAGCCACTGGCAGCAAGAAGTCCGGTGTGAGCGAAACAATCTGCGAGGATGATGGGATGCCAATCACTAACATCCATCGACGTCTTGGACGATGGGCAGAATTTTTCGAAGGGCAGTTCAACTGGGCTGCTGCTCCGGCAACATCGGTCAGACTGTCCTGCCCCCTTTGGCCGGTGACGACTGATCCACCAAATGAGGCGGAAGTCCGCAAGGAACTCCAGCTCTTGAAGCGTTACAAATCACCTGGACCAGATGACTTACCTCCGGCTCGTTTTAAAGATGGTGGTGACTTTCTGACTAAGGAATTGACGACGTTGTTTACAAAGGTTTGGGAACTAGAGAGTGTACCAACGTCATGGAATGAGTCAATAGTTGTCCCTATCTTTAAAAAGGGTTCTTGTCGTTCCTGTAACAACTATCGGGGGATAAGTCTACTTCCGATTGCGTCCAAGCTAAAGGCTTCCGTCATACTTCGTAGGTTGTTCAAAACCCGAGAAAGATTGACTCGCGAGGAGCAGGCTAGGTTTCGTTCTGATCGAGGATGTATTGATAATATATTCACCCTCCGCCAAATGTTAGAACACCGCCATACTTATCAAAGGCTAACAATCGTAGTGTTACTTGACACCAGGGTTGCCTTCGATTCGTTGGATAGGACTGTTCTCTGGGATTGTCTATTGAAGAAGAGTGTGCCTGAGAAGTTTATTAACATCCTAAAAGCCTTATATACAAACACCTCAGGCAGAGTGAGGGCATACAACCACCTTTCTCCATTGTTCCATTCGAGCAATGAGGTTAGGCAGGGTTTCCCAATCTCACCATTCCTCTTCAACTTTGCCATTGATGACATTCTGGAAACAGCTCTGATGAATGTAAGTAATGGTGGTGTGGATCTGTTGCCTGGAGAAAGACTTCTCGACCTTGAGTATGCGGATGACATTGTCTTACTGTGCGATAATCCCCAAGGCATGCAGTCCGCACTTAATCAGTTGGCAATCAGTGTCCGTAGGTATGGTATGTGCTTTGCACCTTCGAAGTGCAAAGTACTTCTACAAGACTGGCAGGATTCTAATCCTGTACTCACCCTGGATGGTGAGCAGATAGAAGTAGTCGAGAAGTTCGTGTATCTAGGTAGCTGCATAAGTGCTGGTGGTGGCGTGAGTGATGAGATCAATGCACGGATAGTGAAAGCCAGAGCGGCTTATGCCAATCTGGGCCATCTTTGGCGCCTTCGTGATGTTAGTCTGGCTGTAAAAGGTCGAATCTACAACGCGTCGGTGAGAGCAGTTTTGCTCTATGCTTGTGAAACCTGGCCTCTCTGAGTTGAGGACGTTAGAAGACTCTCTGTGTTCGATCATCGCTGTCTCCGAAGGATTGCTGACATCCAGTGGCAACACTATGTCAGTAATGCAGAGGGTCAGCATCGTGTGTTCGGGCACAGAGATGATAATGCAATTGGTGTCACCATCTTGAAACACCGACTTCGGTGGCTTGGACATGTTCCACGAATTTCGTCCCAGAGAATTCCACGTCGTGCATTATTTGCCGACTTCGGGACTGGTTGGGAGAAGCGGAGAGGCGGTCAGTGCATGACATGGTGTCGTGGCATGAAAGAAAGTTGCAAAGGACTGGCTTCTGTTGGTCCTTCACGACTCCCTGGTTGGGGTCCGAGAGATGCTGCTACACAGTGGCTAGAGACGTTATCAGATATGGCTCAGAATAGAAGACAGTGGCGATCCTGCTGTAACCTTTTACTTTCTTCATAAAAAGTGGTTGTCTTCCCTAACTGAAAGATTTCTTCTGATTGTACCTTTCTGTTCCCTCATTATTACTATTATAATTACTACACCACCTTACCCCAACCTCTTGTTTATTGTTCTCCTTTATTTTCTTTTTTTCACGCTCCTTACCTTTTTTTCTTTCTTCTCGAATTCTCATTGTTTTGTGTGGCGCATAATTATTGATGCTCTCTTGTACCAATATTTATGTGTTCAAATAAATAAATAAATTTTTCAAAAGTGTTGTTTTCGCCAACTCTCACGAAATTTTAAATGACTTAGTAAATCCATTTGTGTTCTTTGATAACTTGCCTATGGATATATGTTGAGTGTTTCCGTCAGAACCGACACACTTTATATGCTTAGGCATGGCTGAAAACTTCTCTACAAAATAATCTAGCCAGCATGCGACTAAAGCGAATGAATCCACCTATTTTCGCCATAGAGACTCGAAGCTTATTTAGTACTAGACCTAACAATATAGTTATAGCAAGACCAGACGAAGATGCCACAGGGTCCCCGGATAAGCGCACGTAAAACAAGCTTTTCGAAGCGACAGATGGAGATCGAATTTGTAGTACTTCGCCAGAGTCTTGAATACGGGTCTCGGATAGACAGCAAACATCAATATTAGGACTTTCCAAAAACATAGCCAGCCCTATCTGTTGTCCGACCTGCATAAGTGTGCGAACGTTGAAGGCAGCCAGTTTGAATGGTGCACGTGGTTTCAGAAAAACTGCTTCAGTTCTCGTATTCGGTGGTAACATACAATTTTCAACCGGACAGTGACTCGAGAACGTTTAGATAGAGTCGAATTTCCACCAAAGACGAGCCGCTGTATAAGTATAAAAGAGGGTGAATAATGTGGAAAATAATAATAATAATAATATTAATAATAATAACGATAATAGTAATAATAATAATAGTATTAATAATGACAATATTTGTAATGATAATAATTTGAATCAATTGACTGTTTTTCGAAGCGAGAAAAGTAAATTCCATAGACATAAAGAGTTCATCATTTGTGTGTGGGCCGTGATACTGCCCGGGTGCCCAAACCGAAGCAGGTGGTTATCTTAGGGGGCCACACCCCGAGCCTTTGACCTAAAGGTCTAACCCACAAGGCAGTGGAGCATCGTAAGGAGATGCAATCCCATGGTAGCCGGTGACCAACGATTGGTTCATACGCCATTTGTTCCCACAGGATACTGGAGCCCATGTGCACCATTGGTTTGGAATCCGGTTAAAGCGCCGAATGAATGTCGGTGTTTACACTCTTTGTCCTCCCTTAAACCGTGAGATTAAAATTGTTTCATATCTTTTTTTCTACGAAATAATTCTTTCCTCCTGTACTATATCCTTATACACAATCCTTCTTTTATATATTACAACCATTGAAGTGAATACTTCTATGAATTTGGTGTTCATCTTGTTGTGCTAATGAAGTATGGCAACTTGGACCGATGCATATAAGTGCCTTAGGTGTCTTAAGTTGCAGCTGACTGACTGACTGATACACAAACGCTTTAGATTTCTTCACCGATACGTTTCCTCCCAGTACTATAGGTATACTTAAATGCTCTGTAGTCAGCCACAGGTGTACATGGATTACTATGACAAACATAATTTTTAAGTGTATCTCGATCCCGGCACAATATTACAGGGTAATTATCTCCACTTTACATACCTTTTCTTAGATAGGATGAGTTCATTTCTTAAGGCCTGTAACATGTAGAATATTCTAGTGCAGAACGTCTACACATTAGTGCTTTGGCATCATAACCTTGAAAGTTGTTGTGAATGTTATGGAGTTATTATACGTAAGATTTTAGAAATTTATAACATTGCTGCATTGATCTATATCATCAATCGAAACAGTACGCCCTCGTCAACAACAAGGAATAAAAGCCGAAGATGTGAATTGACGAACGTACGTAATAAATTCCTCGTTAGAGCTGTTAAACGAAAAATTAATGACTATTTGTAAACCCCTGAAGAACTGAAGGTTGCTGAGTTTTCGGTATTTAGCATTTCGATTGAGACATTTTCACAAATAGCGAAGTATCCAATGAGTACATGCTCATAGAGCAGTTCTTCTAAAAAAGAGGTGTTCTCACTGCCGCTTCCATCTGTGGCTGTTGTTAGAGAGTAGCTTAAACTTATACTAAATTTTATACCAATAGATAGCACACTGATAAAGTAACATTGCAAATGATTCTTGAAGCCATTACTAATCCGTTTAGCAAGATCTATAAACTTACTTTTTACATGAGAAGCTCATACAGCGTTGTGAAGGACAGGTATAGTTGCTGCAGTTTTATTTTGGCATTCCCGGTAAAGACACCAGAAAAGCTGCATACTCTAGAAGCTGCATTGAAAGAGCGAAAAGCCCGCGGTCAGTTCGTAAGTTGTGAGTTATAAAATTTGACGTGAAGATCATTCGTGATGATCTTAGGAAATTCACAAAAGCTTGTTTAGCTTACGTGTCGACGCTCGAACTGGCCATTAATTATACTTTACACAGAGCTAGAAGCGAAATAAGTATGAGTAACTACCAACTCTACAGAACAGTTCGCAGCAATCCAAGATTACAGTCGGTATCTTTTGTTAGGTGCTCTGTGTTCGCGGTTCAAAGCGCGAACTATCCCGAAAACAAAATAACACAAACGATAGACGTTGCGAGTCAGGCTTTCTCACACGACGAAAGAGATAAAGTAAATAAGCGTTGATGGGGATCCCAAGGAAAGGTGAACTTAATAAAGACTAAATGTATTATTGAATACCTGCATGTTTTTACCACTTTTTTAAAAAAGTGTCTACTATTAGCATGGGAAATTTTTCGATATTACGTTTACTACATGGAAGACTAATGTTTTATTCTGTCTGTGGAACACTTAACGAAAGTTCGACATCGACATAATAAACACATTAACAACTCAATCCCGATGAAAAAGAACATGACGTGAATGATTCGTGAGAAATGCGTGTGTCGTTTCACATTTCAATACACAATCTCACTTATAACACAATCTTTTAACCACGACAACGCCTATATATGACGTTTGTTATTATGTGTTGACAAGATAGGACTATTTCGATGAGGTGAATAAAGTGATTGCTTCTTGACATGTTGTCTTCTAAGCGTAGTATACTTAATTCTACAAAAAAACGTTAATGCAAGCTAAGTGTGAGTGCGACAACATGTTGATGTGGAGAACAATGGCGTGGTTTTAGAAATGTGCTAAGTTCGCGAAATGAACTACACTCAATCTCTCGATTATGGGGGAAATTTCACCAAATTTAGTTTCCCCAAACGTTGGGAAAAATTGGAATTTTAATACGACTTCGGAGAAAACTCCAAAATTTACCAAAAGTCCCTAGACTGGGCAAATAAAAACGAAAGACTTTTGTACACAGAAAATTCTTTGTGGTTCTCAACAAAGAACGTATGGTTTTCCCGAAACGTCGGGCATATTTTCGGGTTTCATCAAACGATACAAATAGATATTTATAAAGTCATTGAAAATTTCGTGGGATATGTTGGCGAATTCGAAACACAGGACGAATAAAAGGAGAGGTTCAACTTAATTTCCCAGTGAAAGGTGAAAAAGCAGGTACTTATGTGTGTCCCCTGTTATTTTCCCTTTATTTTCCAACAGAATTTTTTCTTTATTTTCCCACTGTTTGTTATTATTTCCCCTTTATTAGTTGCTTGACTTCCCACGAAAACTTGGGTTTTAACATATTAAAACGTTTGAGGTACACTGGGTCGACATAATATTCTGCGAAAGTTTCAGGTATTTCCCTAAATAACTCGAAATCAAGGCGGAAAAATTTCATAACAGTGGAAAATTTGGGGTTCCAGTCGCATTTCTGAAAATTTTTCTATAACAGCTCCTCCGAAATCGAGAGATTGGATTCTTTGGGTACTAAGACAGTGTGCGTGAGGAATGCTGAGATAGGCAGTAATACGAAAGATAGGCCACCGAATTAGGATGGGTACAAACTGCATTGACTTTAATTAAACAAAGCAGTCGACAACAATTAGCAATCTTACTTATCCTAGTTGAGCGCACTGTAGCGCACGTCTTGAAAGTGTGTTGCCAAAACTAATTTCCTTATGATTAGCCTACATCAACCGATTTATTTATTTCCGCTATTTTCTTGTTATCTCAGTGCCTTTCTAGATATTTCATTATGTCCAGTGTATGTTAGTATGAACACTTTATAGCACTAATTCTATTCATTCTGGTAGCTGTGTTTGGATTTGCATATCATGTAATTCAAATGAATTGAATGAAACTCGTCACTATGCATCAACTTCATTGACTATGACAAGGCGTTTGACAGTGTGGATAGGAAGACTTTATAGGAACTTCTTCGACACCACTGAGTACCTGAGAAAATCGTCAAAATCATATGGAATTCATACGACTACAAAGCAGAGTTGTGCATGGAAGACAGCTGACAGACGCATTTCAAGTGAGGATCTGAGCCGGGCAATGCTACCTACTCTGCCCCTTTATCTTGCTCCTGATCGTTGACCGGATTATGAAGACTTTAACACCTCGGGAGAAGCACGGACTACAATGGACAGGTTGGATGCAACTAGACGACTTGGACTTGGCATGTGACTTGCCCCTTCCCATACACACGAATAAGTGCAGATGAAGACAACCAGCGTATCGGCAGTCCCTGCATCAGTAGGCCTCAACATACACAAGGGAAAAAGCAAAATCCTCAAACATATCACAGAGGACACCACCCTAGTGAGTAAGTCACGTGGCAGTAAGGTTTCCGGATACCAGTGGCTGTTACGCTATCAAGCAGGCGGTTGGTTGGTTGGTTAATTAGTGATGTGTAGAAAGATGGTTTTAGAGATTTAAATGGGGAAAAAGAATGATGATAAGAGGTAGGAATAATTTATCGATATGTGATGTTGACAGTAGTTGAGTTGGGGGACGTGCATCAGATGAAACTAGTACAAGCAGAAATTAGAAATCTGATAGTTAGTTTTATCAAGTCTTCTTCTAAAGTTATCCACTGAAGGAAACATAATTACTTGAGCTGAAAGATCCTTCCAACTATGGGCAACATTTAATATGAAAAGATGGGACCGTGCCTTGGTGTCTGTCTTTCGATATGCAATTATTTTGGGGTCCCATCAAGTTGTGTGGTAGTAAAGTTTCGGTGAGGCATCCAAATGCTAGTGACTCGGTGTGCTGAAGACATTGTCTGCCATCGATAGGTGTTTTCTTATTCTCCGAGTGATCGGCAAAAATTTTCCCAAGAGTTGGAGCTAATATTGGTGAGATTTTTTCTCAGTCGCATTGTAAAACTAATTTGGGAGGTTAGCGTATGAAAATCCCTTTCCATACACACTGTTGTAAATTACTGTGCATGATTCCTTCCGATATTCATTGCGTTGACCTTTTGATTTCAGTCGAGGTAGTACTATTTATATTGTACAGCAAATTCAGTTTTTATTGCATTTTCACTGATCTTAGATGTTTTACCTGAACTATATCTAAGTTGTTTTATTTGAATCCTGGTTATGGTGGCTACCATGTTCATTCGCCCGCCTTTTTGGTAGTTGTACTTGGATTAATTGGAAATGTGTACAAATAACTGTGTATCGAAGAACTTTTCCGGAACTGGTGACACTCCGTATTAAAACAAAATTAAATATCATATTTTTGAACTATCTGAACGTGATCTATCCAGTAAAGATGGAATGATGATCCTGCATTTATGAGGAATTTCATTTATTACACTCGATAATTCTCTCATATCCTTTAACATTTTATCTACTTGATGTAATTTAGATTTCGCTACTGGCTGAACGATTATAGGTTGAATGACAGAGTGGTAATTTTTGTTTAGTTGGTGGTGTACATTTGGGTTTGTGACCAAATGTGAAACCATGGTTTTCCCAATCACTTTGTTTTGGATTCTTCATGGGGAAAGTGCGTATTTGAACTTATCTGTTGGGGATGTTGGACCCCCAAAACGCACTTGGTAAATAACTTATTTTTGTAATTTTATTTTGAAAAGTTGAAATATTTGTTCTCGTGACAAAATGTCTCATTTTCACCTTTATGTCGTATTCCTTACTTGGGAGAACCTTAAATGCTATTAGTTTGTTGTATCTTTTAGTATGCTGTCTTGTAACGCTTCTCAAGGACAATTTTATGCTGTGCCTGTTGTGATTGCTCGTGCTTCTATCTTCTTGCTGGATATATTTTCCCCGTTTCGAACATAAACTCCTCTTTTTAGTTAGCAAAGCTTGAACGCATCAGAATAACTGGCTAATTTTTCTATCATCATAGGGTCTTTGTTCCGTTCTCAGACTAGGTGAACTCGTGGTCGCTTCAAACATAGCATTATCCAAACAGTTACTTCTAATTCCAAACTGCTTCATTTTGCAAAGTACACTCATCACCTACTTTGTCATTTGTCTCAGTACATGATCTTAGAAATTTATTTATTTTTAAGAGAGTGTGTAACGACCGAACTGTCAGTATTCGGTTTGAACGCAGCACTGACGAACCAAAATGTATTCGAATAAGCCAGACTGAGTTCTTCTGTATAGCTCACAAAGCGTTTTTGAGATACTCGTATTAAATTATATCAAAACACAAACTTCGTGCTGAATTTAAATGGTTCTAATTTAGGAAGTAGAACAAATATCAAAAATACAAAATACCTCAAGTGGTACAGCCTGTGCTATACAGTCAAATGTTTCTCTAACACAAAGTAGTGCGCTAAACAATAAAAGAAACAGTTAATACCAAAGGTTTCGATACCTGAGAATCAATAAAAATATTCCCAATAAGATGGGATCAAATATCTATCTGCAGGGATTCCAGCAATCCTCCCAAGTGGACAGTCGAAAGATTAACAGTCATACAGTGAACCACGTCATGATATTGAGCTTAGTCCAACACGACCTTACTGTCAATAGTCTGGCAACATACAACAGAAAATTAGGTAACAAAATATAAGTCTTTAATCAAAATTACATAATAAAGGCTCAGACGAGGAACAAAAGGTGTGGTTAAGCGAGAATTGAACAAAGGTTAAAATACACGACAGGAAGAAGAAACAAATAAATGACAATACCGTCCAACGAAAAAGCTGTGGTGGGATTTTCAGCGTTTTGTTTCTGTCACAGAGTGGGTACAAAAACTAATGGTCTCCGAGGTAATGCCGTGAGTATGTAATGGCATTGGATCTTAACCACAATCCTCAAAGCTAAACATGAGATAACTGGGAAAATAGACTTCCAACATGTAACACTAAGAAAAGGTCAATAAAGGTGTACGCGGGAACGTCCCTTCGTAATTCAACTCATCGGATGGCATGACTCAGCCTTTCAGTCGTGGTTGTTCCTGCGCAACTTATCTCTTTTATTCATAATAAATATATTGTTCTATCTCCAGCCTAAATGTGTTCTTCATCATATATTGGTGATTATACGATGAGTCAATGTAGACTGATGTAACTTTTATATAAGATTTTATAGATTAGGCAGCTACATCATGATAAATCTACAATTTTAGGGTGAGGTCTATTATTAGAGCAGTACTAATAACGAACTAGACCATAATTTTACAAGCAATTCATAAGCAGTTTTAAAAATTATCTTTGTATTTTCGTGTAGAGCTGTCTATGTGTGAAGTAAAGAGTTGCATCTAGTTTGACTGCCTTTTAGATGTAGTTTGGGCTGGTGTAAACACTTTTTGTGATTGCCATTCCTAAGCTGAGCTCTATAAAGACTACCAAGAGCACATTTTTATAAATGACGTCAGTGCTCTGCTCCCGGATGTTCACCATACATCATAGCGGTCAGTTAATGTACAGAAAATTGCCTAGTGTCCACTCCTCTATAGTTATTTTTGAGGCTCCAGTAAATCATTTTCATCTTTTATACATCCCCATATCGTCAAGTCGTCCGTGTTGATTTGCGTCACTGAATTAATTTTATCTAGATGGTTGATAATGAAGGTCAGGACTATCTACATTATTTTTTTGATAAACTGGTAGAAATTATTGTAATTTTGCGCTGATGACTTGATGTTGGAGGACCAATTGAGAAGCTTGATGACACTTATTTGGATTATACTTATTTCAGCTGAAATATTTTCAGTGATTTAAGGAAGGTGGTTAGAGATCTATGAATTTGGGACGCGTTAATTTATCAGACAGTCAATGGAGTCTCTAAAACTAGTGATTGTAACGTCGTATCCTAGTCTGGTTAATAATATAAGCCGGAATAAAAGCAGTAGAAACGCAGAAGATAGTGAAAGAGAAGAGGATAATGAAGTGACAATCAACAAATGAAATTAAGGCAAATGATCATACAACCAGTAATTAATTTAGGGATAGTAAGCGAGTAAGAGGAACAGCACTTAGTAACGACCAATAAGCACAATAATTCCATGCCTCATTCCGTCATAGTAACGTGTTTAGCCTTGGTTGAAATATGGATCCTGTCTGACTGTATGATTACTTAGATTTGATGGTTGCGTAATGAACACAATAATGATTTCAGAGTAATACTCTCAGTGATCAAGGTGCCGTGGATACCTATATGGATATCGGCAATATGTTAGATGTTAGTAAACGTCTTTTAAAGAGCTTACAAATGATTCACATAGAAGCGGTCGCGGTTACTTTTCCTTCACGGACCATAGTCCCTGTAATATTTGAAAATCATAATTGCGAAATTGTTCCAAATTATCCACATCGAAAAATTTGTTGCAAATTACTATTATCACGCACCAGTATGAAGCGAAATGATCAAAAATCAATGAATTAAAAAAGACCACTGTTTAAAAACTAAACGAATTTCCTAAATACGGAGCGGTTTTGGCTAACGGAATAGGACTGAGGGAGAAGAAACTGAGGTGATGGTAAGCAGCAAAGAACGGCCAAGTAGAGGATACCAAGAGTTCATGCCTGTGTCTATTGTTCCCACAAGTTACCGTTTGTTAAGTTCTTGTTAGTTTATTTCCCTTCAGTTCTTCTGCATCTCCAAAC